ACTGTCTCGCATGACCTTCTCATAAACAAACTAGGGAAATGTAACCTAGATGGAGCTATTAAAAGGTGGGTGCATAACTGGTTGGAAAACTGTTCCCAGAGAGTAGTTCCCAGTGGTTCACACTCATGCTGGAAGGGCATAACGAGTGGGGTCCTGCAGAGATCAGTTCTGAGTCCAGTTCTGTTCAATATCTTCATCAATGATTTAGATAATGGCATAGAGAGTACACTTATAAAGTTTGCAGATGATACCAAGTTGGTTGCAAGTGCTTTGGAGGATAGGATTATAATGCAAAATGATCTGGATAAACTGGAGAAATGGTCTGAAGTAAATAGGATGAAATTCAATAGGACAAATGCAAAGTACTCTACTTAGGAAGGAACAATCAGTTGCAAACATATAAAATGGGAAATGACTGCCTAGGAAAGAATACTGCAGAAAGGGATCTGGGGGTCATAGTGGAACACAAGCTAAATATGAGTCAGCAGTTTAACACAGCAAACATCATTCTGGGATGTCTTAGCAGGAGTATTGTAAGTCTAGAAGGTGTGTGGGTTACATAAGCAAGACACGAGAAATACCGGTAATTCTTCTGCTCTACTCTGTGCTGATTAGGCCTCAACTGGAGTATTGTGTCCAGTTCTGGGTGCCACATTTCAGGAAAGATGTGAACAAATTGGAGAAAGTCCAGAGAAGAGCAACAAAAATGATTAAAAGTCTAGAAAACATGACCTATGAGGGAAGATTGAAAAAATTGGGTTTGTTTAGTATGGAGAAGAGAAGACTGAGGGGCGGGACGGGACATAAGTTTTCAAGTACATAAAAGATTGTTACAAGGAGGAGGGAGAAAATTTTTTCTTAACCTCTGAGGATAGGACAAAAAGCAATGGGCTTAAATTACAGCAAAGAAGGTTTAGGTTGGACATTAGGAAAAACTTCCTAACTGTCAAGATGGTTAAGCACTGGAGTAAATTGCCTAGGGAGTTTGTGAATCTCCATCATTGGAGATTTTTAAGAGCAGGTTAGACAAACACCTGTCAGGGATGGTCTAGATAATACTTAGTCCTGCCCTGAGTGCAAGGGACTGGACCTAGATGACCTCTCAAGATCCCTTCCAGTCCTATGATTCTATGAAACATTTCTGTTCTGTATTTGGGGAAAAAACATGACATAGTGTCATCATATGGTGGTGATAACTCTTTCCATTCCACTAGTATCTCTGATGGATGTTAAACACATTTACTAAAGTTAGACATTTTAAATCAGCAGGACCAGATAACTTGCCTGACTGAGAAGCTCGCTGTACTGTTAATGTTGATTTTTTTTTTCAACAAGTCTGGGAGCGCTGGGGATATTCTAAAAGACTGGGGGAAAGTTAATGTGCCAAATTTTAAAAAGGGTGAATGGGGTGATCAGGGCAATTACAGGTCTGTCAGCCTGAGATCGATCCCAGGCTAGAGAATGGAATGTTTGATGCAAAATGCAATAAAGAATTAAGAGAAGGTAATGTGATTAATGCAAATCAGCATGGAAAATGCTTTCAGATTGTGGCTCCTACACTGATTGGCAGGGAGGTGGGCAAAAGTGGTTTTGTGGAAGAGGTTTACAACCCCCACCCCAATCTTGAGGCCAGTGAGGGATGGGACCTGTCTAGTCTGACTTGTACCTGGTGCCTGTGATCACAAGGTACAGTTCTGATGTCTGGGGATTGCCAGGACATCGAGATGCCCTGGAAAGCTTCCTGTGGTGGTGTAGGAGGTGCTACAATGGCTGTAGACTAATTGATGGAGGAATCCTTCACTGACTGGTTAAGCTGACTTTTACAAGCAGCACAGATCCCTCATAATGGGGATCAGGGTCTGTCCTTGCATTTTTCTGTGCAATATGCCCTGGAACTGATCTGCTTTAGCAGATTAATTACACCATATTTGCTAGTATTTCCATTCACACAGTTCCCAGAGCATTTTATAGGGGTTACTTGCTCACAACAGAATTGCTGTCACTTTTCAGGTCAGACACAACAACCTCAGTAATATTAAAACAGCCATTAGAATTGGAAGCAAAGAATAACGTTGTCAAATATAAATGATAAGGAACTGTAGTTGCTGTTGAGGTCCCCCCCCAATTTTGTTTACTGTTGTTTTTTTGCTTGTTGTCCAAGCTTCCAGGGGCTCTGATGGGTAGGACCCTATCAAATTCTTGGTTTATTTTGGTCAATTGCATGGCCAGTGGTTTTTTTAAAAAAAAGCTGTGGGGCAGGGGGGCTGCAAGGCGATTCTAGTGGGGTTGTGGGATTGCTACCCTTACTTCTGTCCTGCTGCTGGCAGGGGCCCACAGAGGAAGGCTGCTGGCTGAGTGCCCAGCTCTAAGTCAGCGCCACTGCCAGCAGTGGCACAGAAATGAGGGTCACAGGGTATGGGGGGGAGGTTACCCGGCAGTCTCCTGCCCATGCACATGGGGTGACGGCTTGAACTGCAGCCTCCCCGTGTGTGTGTGAGGGTGGGGGTTGATAGCTTGAACTGTGGAGCTTCCTGCAGCCAGGGCAGGTTCCTGGAGGTGTCTGATCTGTCCTGGGAGCAGTCCCTATAAGGGAAGAGGAAGTCCTGTCCCTCCCCATCCCCAGCTGGGGGCTTGCACAGGGGAGGAGCCCCTAACTAGGCGCGCGATTTCACGAGGGAGATCAGATTTCACAGTCCGTGATGCGTTTTTGATGGACGTGAATTTGGTGTGGGGGGAGGATAGCTCAGTGGTTTGAGCATTGGCCTGCTAAACCCAGGGTTGTGAATTCAATCCTTGAGGCTGCCATCTAGGGATCGGGGCAAAAATCTGTCTGGGGATTGGTCCTGCTTTGAGCAGGGGGTTGGACTAGATGATCTCCTGAGGTCCTTTCCAACCCTGATATTCTATGAAATAAGCTGAAAAAACTAAATAAAATGTTAGCAAGACATGATGGACTTACCCAAAGCTGAGAAATTGTCTTGGACACTTAAACCAAAATTTTCCAATCTGAGACCTGAATTTAGGCACCTGAATCTATATTTAGGCATCTAAAGAAAGTGGTGAAAACCTTTTTCAGAGGTGTTGAGCACCTGCAGCTTCCACTGACTCAATGGATTTAGATATCTAACTTGAGGCGCACTCACATCTGTAAAATTTTGTCATAACTTAACACCCCACCCTGATTTCCAGTACCAACTGTTTAATATTGGTCCTAGACTTGTATTAGTTATAAGGATAAAACTTGATGTACTCATATGTCAGTGGTATGCCTGCAACTTCTAGATCTTGTTTTTTTAAAAAACAGTAGATAGCACTATGTGTTACTTATATGTAATGTTCTCATTGTCTTTTAAATTTAGATGGAAGAAGGAAGTAAAAATGTGCGTCTGGGAACACTAATTGGTTTGCTGGTAGAAGAAGGACAGGACTGGAAGCAGGTTGAAATACCAGCAGATACTGGTGATCCATCTTGTCTGGCACCCCCGATGGCACCGCCTGCAGTTGCACCTACTCCCCCTCCAGTAGGCATTTTAGCTTCAGCCTCTACCAAAATGGAACATGGGCTTGGAAAACTACCGTGAGTTTCTGTATTCCCATGAACAACACTTTCAGTGTGAGACTTGAGGGTATTGCCACTACAGGTGGGGCCAAATACTTCCCTTTTGTAACTTCAGTGAAATCAGTGGAGTTGCACTAGGGATGAATTTTGTCTCCGTAGCTAAAATCAAAGTATTGTTTGAGAGATTCTTTACATTTGCCTGGTTTGTTTAGGCCTTGTCTACAAAGGAAGATTTTGTTGTTTTTTTTTGTTTTCTATAACCTAAGACATGAATTTAAACCAATATAGTTATACCAGCCTAACTCCCTGTGTGGACACTCTTATTCTGGTATAAGAGTTCCTTTTTTTCAGTTTGGCTTATGTCACATAGGAAGAGTTTTAAGCTAAACTGAAAAAAGTTACTCTTATACTGGAATAAGAGTGTCATGTAAGAGGTTCTCAGTAGAGAGGTGTGGAGTGTTCAAAAGTGTTGACGTAAGTGTGCCCTCTCATTACAACTTATGCAAATTTGTAAGTACACCATGGTAATAATCAGTCAAAACATCTTCATCATCACTTTTTGCAGATAACACAAAAATTGGGGAGGAATAAATAATGAAGAGGACAGGATACAAAGCAATCTAGATCACTTGGTAAACTGGGCAAAAGCAAACAATATATGTTTTTATTATGGCTAAATGTAAATCTACATCTAGGAACAAAGATTGTAGGCCATACTTACATCATGAGGGACTCTGCTGGAAAGCAGTGATTCTGAAAAAGATGTGGAGTCATGGTAGATAATCAGCTGCACATGAGTTTCTAGTGTGATGCTGTGGCCAAAAGGCTAATGTGATCCCTGGATATGTAAATAGGGGAGTCTTGAGTAAGAGCAGAGAGGTTATTTTACCTCTATATTTGGTACTGGTGTGACCACTGCTGGAATACTGTGTTCAGTTTTGGTGTCCACAATTCAAGAAGGATGATGATAATTTGGAGAGGGTTCAGAAAAGAGCCATGAGAATGATTAAGGGATTAGAAAACATGCCATATAGTGATAGACTCTAGGAGCGCAATTTATTTAACATAGCAAAGAGAAGGTTCAGGGGAGACTTGATCACAGTACCTACACGGGGAACAAATATTTAATAATGGGCTTTTCAATGTAGCATGATCCAGTGGCTGGAAGTTGAAGCTAGACAAATTCAGCTTGGAAATAAGATGTACATTTTTAACAGTGAAAATAATTAACCACTGGAACAATCTGCTAAGGATCACGGTGGATTCCCCATCACTGACAATTTTTCAGTCAATATTGGATTTTTTTTTTTTCCCTAAAAGATCTGCTCTAGGAATTATTTTGGGAAAGTTCTATGGCCTGTGTTATACAACAGGAATGACTAGATCAGGGGTTCTCAAACTTCATTGCACCATGACACCCTTCTGACAACAAAAATTACTACATGACCCCAGGAGGTGGGACCGAAGCCTGAGCTTGCCCAAGCCCCACCGCCCCAGGTGGTAGGGGGCCAAAGTTGAAGCCTGAGCCCCGCTGCCCCAGGTGGGTGGATGGGACGGGCAGGCTAAAGCCAAAACCTAAGGGCTTCAGCCCCAGGTAGGGGACTTGTAACCTGAGCTCCGCCACCCAGGGTTGAAGCTGAATAGGGTGACCAGATGTCCCGATTTTATAGGGTCAGTCCCAATTTTGGGGTCTTTTTCTTATATAGGCTCCTATTACCCCTCCACCCCCATCCCGATTTTTCACATTTGCTGTCTGGTCACCCTAAAGCCGAAGCCTGAGCCCCACCGCCCAGGGTGGTGGGGCTTGGGCTTCAACTTTGGCCCCAGGCCCCAGCGGCTCTAACATTGGCTCTGGCGACCCCATTAAAACGGGGTCTCGACCCACTTTTGGGTCCGGACACATAGTTTGAGAACTGCTGGACTAGATGATCACAGTGGTCCCTTCTGGTTTTGTAACCTATGAATTTATGAGTAAGTTTGCCAAAAACAGGAGTTAAGTATCAGCAGCCTATAAAGGACAGGATTAGTTTTCAAAATGACCTTGACAAATTGGAGAATTTGTTTGAAACGAACAAGATGACCAAAGGAATATGACCCAACAAACTGAGGCCGTTGTAAACGGAGTTAATATCATTCTTCTTCGAGTGCTTGCTCATATCCATTCCAGTAGGTGTGTGCGCGCCGCGTGCACGATCGTCGGAAGATTTTTACCCTAGCAACACCCGGTGGGTCGGCTGTGGAGCCCCCTAGAGTGGCACCGTTATGGCGCTGGATATATACCCCAGCCGACCCAGCGCCCCCTCAGTTCCTTCTTACCGCCCCTGACGGTCGTTGGAACTGTGGAGCGCGGCATAGCTGATCTCCACACTCCCTAGCTTCTCGTTGTTGTTATAGTTAGTTATATAGATAGTTATTCAAGTTAGTTGTATAGTGTATATATATAGTTGTATATTGTTATCGGGGGTTTGGGGGTGTTTTTCCCCTTTTCCCCCCCGGCGCACAGCCGGGCCCATGCCCAAGGCTCCTGGCTTTAAGCCGTGCGCGTCCTGCGGGAAGCATATGCCAACCAGCGACCCGCATAGTTCCTGCTTGAAGTGCCTTGGAGAGGCTCATCCAGCAGATAAGTGCCCTATCTGCAAGGCCTTCAAGCCGAGGACAAGAAAGGAGCGGGACTTTAGACTCCGTCAGCTCCTGATGGAGGCGGCTCTGAGTCCGGATCCTCCCTCGGCGCGCCCTGTCCCTGCACCGAGCGCTTCGGTGCGCAGCGCCCCGGCGGGCCCGACCGGTGCGGCGGAAAAGACTGCTCGGCACCGACCGACGTCGGCACCGCGCCCGCCTAAAGAACCTCGGCGCCGATCCCTTTCTCTGGGCCATAAGAAGGCCGGCAAGGCGCGGGACGTTGCTGCCGCGAAGATACCGGCTCCCCCGGTGCCGGGGGTAGAGCCGCGTCCGCAGTTGGACCGCCAAAGACAGGCGGCCACACCGTCGACTCCGGCACCGAGGCCGTTGAGTCCGGTGCGGACTGTTTCACCACCAAGGCTGGTGGTGGAACCTTGTCTCCCTTCCACCCCGGAGACCTTTGCTACGGCGAGAGACCTGATCGCCCTCACGGAGCCGGCGCCGTCACAACTCCCGGCACCGGTGGCTCCACGCGTGCTGCAGTCCAGAGGAAAGCCTGCCCTGGTGCGCCCACCGTCGCCAGCACGAGTCTCTCGGCACCGCTCCAGATCCCGGAGCAGGTCCCGACGCCGCTCTGAGTCCCGGCGCCGAATATCACCTCGGCACCGGTCGTACTCGCGGCCCAGATCCTCTTCGCGGCGCCGTTCAACATCCCGGCACCGTCGCGACGACCGGCACCGATCGGGCTCGAGACGCAGCTCCCGGCACCGGTATGAGCGCCACTCGGGCTCGAGGGGCCGCTCCCGGTACCACGCCTCCTCCAGATCGTCGTCCCGTTCCAGATCGGGATCCCGGCACCGGAGGGACTACCGGCACCGATCCAGATCCCGGCACCGCTCTCCGGCACCGCACAGGGGCAGATCGCCTTACGGCCGGCACCGATCGGCACCGTACCATCCGGTGCCGACGGCGTCGGGTTCGGCACCGCCGTGGCCATCGAGATCGGCGTCGCGATCATCTGAGGCAGTGGAGGCCGGCCACCTGCAGGAGACCGACGACCCTATGCAAGGACCTGCGCATTGGTCCTTCTGGACTCCTTGGGCCTACCATCAGGCACAAGGAGCTCCGCTATCTGCCTCCCGCTCGGGCCGTTCGGAGCCTAGGGCCCCAGAGTCCACCATCTCCCGCCCTCCTCCAAGGGACAGTACAGAGACCGATCACGCTCCCCTTGAGTCCGGATCTCATCTCTCAGGACCACGGCCGGCTGTATCACCCCGACCTGCAGTCGCTCCACCTCACGGCGTGGATGCTTCATGGTTGAGTCGCTCAGAGCGGCAATGCTCGCAGGCCGTCCAACAGGTCCTGCTGGGAAGTAGAAAGCCCTCTACGCGGACCACTTATTTAGCCAAGTGGAAGAGGTTCTCCTGTTGGTGTGAGCAACGAGTTACGTCTCCCTCGCAGGCTCCTATCCCCTTGATACTGGAATACCTCCTGTCCTTAAGACAGCAAGGCTTGGCGACATCCTCAATCAAGGTTCACCTCGCCGCTATTTCCGCTTTCCACCCAGGAGAACTCACGTCCTCGGTCTTCTCTAACCCGATGGTCGTTAGATTCCTCAAGGGCTTAGACCGGCTGTACCCACAGCAACGACAACCAGTTCCGACGTGGAACCTCAACCTCGTCCTCTCCAGGCTCACAGGGCCTCCGTTTGAACCATTGGCGACCTGCTCACTCCTGTACTTATCCTGGAAGACAGCCTTCCTCGTAGCCATCACCTCAGCACGACGTGTCTCGGAACTCAGGGCGCTGACATCCGAGCCCCCTTATACGGTGTTCCACAAGGACAAGGTGCAGCTTCGCCCCCATCCTGCCTTTCTTCCGAAGGTGGTGTCACCTTTCCACGTAAACCAAGATATATTTCTCCCGGTCTTCCATCCGAAACCGCACGCTACTTGTCAAGACCAGCGTTTGCATTCTTTGGACGTTCGCAGGGCCCTGGCTTTCTATATTGACCGGACAAAGCCATTTAGGAAAACGACGCAACTCTTCGTTGCGGTGGCCGACCGGATGAAAGGATCACCGGTCTCTTCACAGTGCCTGTCCTCTTGGATTACGTCCTGCATTCGTGCTTGCTACGACCTGGCCGGTGTACCGACGCCACACCTCACTGCTCATTCCACGAGGGCCCAGGCCTCCTCGGCTGCCTTCCTGGCTCAAGTACCGATCCAGGACATTTGTAGAGCTGCAGTGTGGTCATCGGTCCACACATTTGCTACTCACTATGCGCTGGTGCAACAATCCAGAGACGATGCTGCTTTCGGGTCAGCGGTTCTGCACACAGCAATGTCTCACTCCGACCCCGCCACCTAGGTGGGGCTTGGGAGTCACCTACTGGAATGGATATGAGCAAGCACTCGAAGAAGAAAAGACGATTACTCACCGTTGTAACTGTTGTTCTTCGAGATGTGTTGCTCATATCCATTCCAAACCCGCCCCCCTTCCCCACTGTCGGAGTAGCTGGCAAGAAGGAACTGAGGGGGCGCTGGGTCGGCTGGGGTATATATCCAGCGCCATAACGGCGCCCCTCTAGGGGGCTCCACAGCCGACCCACCGGGTGTTGCTAGGGTAAAAATCTTCCGACGATCGTGCACGCGGCGCGCACACACCTACTGGAATGGATATGAGCAACACATCTCGAAGAACAACAGTTACAACGGTGAGTAACCGTCTTTTCTGTCGTGTGTTAACAAGAGTGTCTTATGTAAGACACAGGAGGTAGTTGTCCCATTCTACTCGGTACTGGTGAGGCCTCATCTGGAGTACTGTGTCCAATTCTGGGTTCCACGCTTTAGGAAAGGTGTGGAGAGAGTCAACAGGAGGGCAAAAAAAAAGGTTTAGGAAAATCCTGACTTCCAAGGAAAGTTTAAACATGCCCATTTTTTTTTTTTTTTTTTTTTTGTCTTGAGGAAAGAAGAGTGGGCGGGAACCTGATAAGTCTTCAAATGTGTTACAAAGAAGTCCAATTGTTCTCCATGTCCACTGAAAGCAGGACAAGAAGTAATCTGCTTAATCTGCAGAAGGGGAAATTTAGGTTAGATATTGGGCAAAATATCTAACCTAAAAAGTAAGATCTGGAATAGGCTTCCAAGGGAGATTATGGAATCCCTTTCATTGGAGGTTTTTTAAGAACAGGTTAGGCAAACACCTGTCAGTGATGGTGTAGGTAGATTTGGTCCTGGATTAGTGCAGGTGGCTGGACTTGATGACTTTTTGAGCTCCCTTCCAGTCCTACAATTTCTATGGTTCTATGAGTGTTGAACACTATACAATTCAATTAATTTTTTAGCTCCTTGCCTATCTGTCCAATTTGTTTGTTTAATTTTGCTGTTAGCATTCAGGCTGTCCTAATGCAAGTAGGGAAGACCTTTGGAAGACACTAACTGAGGCCTCTAACAGCATGCTTGCTATAGTAGAAGAGTGATTAGAGCACTAAGAAGGGTTAAATCAAGTGCTTTGACATCTGAGAATGTTAGAACAGAAACTGATTCAGTGACGCTCCTAATCACAAATGCGTGACAACTAATTTAAAATCAAATTAACGTCTTTAATGATTTACATTCCTTGTCAAGCTGGTATTACTGCACTTGGAATTCTTGTGTGGTTCAAAGGGCTCCGCTCCTACCAGCTCTTCTGTTTATCTCTTCAAGGCATTCTTTCAAGAATTTGGAGAAATAAAATCTGGTCTCAAGTACTAATGTTGCTCTGTTGTTTTTGCTAAATTAACTTTTTTGCATCTAAGAATTTTAAAGTTTTGCCTGAGTTCACTATGTTCTCATGTCATATAAATTATCTTAAGATAAAATGAATGCTCTGGAACTTTTCTCCAATATACCTCTCAATTAAAATGCAGAATTGGGTTATGATGTGTAACCATTGTAGTTTCTGTATAGCAATGGAGATCAGTGTTACGTGCTGTAGATGATGTGCTTAACTCTGTCTCTGGAAAGGTACTGCAAAACATATCCTGCATGGGTTGAGATGACACAGATACAAGTTTATGATGTTTGAGAGTGGGAGGAAACTGCATTAAACTTGTAAAGCTGAAAATGAGATTAGAATTATTTGCATAAATTCCTTATTTCTCAGTCCAGATGATCTGTTGTACTTCTAGAAGTTTGTCCAGTAAACTTAACTATAAAAGCAAAAATTGAAGATGTTAAGTATAAAGATTGTTATAATTGAAATTAGACAGAACTAATGATGCAGTTGTCACTACCTCACCTGCTATTAAAGAAGAGCAAGCTTGTGTAAGTATGTATACACTGCCATTAAAACTCTGGCTGGCCTGTGCCAGCAGGCTCGGGCTACGGGCTTTTTAATTGAGGTGTAGACTTCTGGGCTCGGGTTGGAGCCCAGGCTCTAGGACCTTGCCAGGTGGGAGGGTCCCAGAGCTTGTGCTTCTGCCAGAGCCTGGACGTCTACACTGCAATTAAACAGCCTGTAGTCCAAGCCCTGCGAGCCCGAGTCCGTTGGCACAGGGCCAGCCGCAGATGTAGACATACCTTGTGAGACAGTAAGCATACAGGGCCAGCTCCTCAGACGCAGCAGGGCTCTTTTATACTACCTTGCCAAGAGATGATCTATGCAGCTGATATATCTGGCTCTGTGGTGATCACCTGTTTATATGGGGATCCTCCAATGGTGTTGAGGCTTCTATGTCACCCCATTCCTTGCTGGTAGTAGCATAAGGTAGATGGCTGGGACCCCCGATGTTGGGATGATGCCCAGCTGTGGTTTCAGTTCCTTGGGGTCACTAGTAGCTGTAGTGTAACCTCAGGGCTCTGATACTCTGGTATAGTAGAGCCAACCCTTCACATTGCAGCCCTGGGATCAGGGGAGTACAAAGGTAAACTTTATGCTACCTTTGCACAAACACCCACTGACTTGCACTGCATTCCCCACAGCTGGAGCTGAGGCTCTGGACCATAGCACATGGTATCCAGAACCTTCTGACATTTTGTGTGTGAAATACATTCACCTAACCCTATTATTTAGGTGGTTTTCTTTTTTCACTTCAGGATTCGCTTAAGTCCTGCTGCCCGCTACATTCTAGAGACACATGGACTTGACCCAAGCAGTATTACTCCCACTGGGCCTCGAGGAATCCTCACTAAAGAGTATGTATAAGCCTGCTATAATTAATCCAAATATTTTATTCATTTCCTTTTTCAGCCTAGCCCAAATTCCATGGTGTTCAGCATACAAGACCCACTTGTTCTCTCAACCTTTTCCTTGGGGGAATTGATTGTTTGGATGACCAACAGAGGATGTGGGAGGCTGGGTTGGGTGACATTGTAAGAAGTTTGTATTTTTCTTTGTATGATCTCTGGGACAGGGACTGTCCAGCCATGTGACAGCTGGGAGAGATAGTGCAGCCCTCCCATTCCCCTTAGCCCACTACTAGAATGATTGACAGCTCCCAAACTGTGCTGTCAGCTGGCACAGGGGTTTCATTGGGCCTGAAGAGCTCCCCCACATGCACAGAGGCAATAAAGTGTCAGAAGAAGCAGCAGAGGCCATCCTTCCCTAACACTTGTTTTATGGGGAATCTGAGCTCCTGCTTTCCCGCACATGGGTCACTGCTGTAGCCTTGTATTTTATTTAAAGTGAATTTAGTAAGGTTGTATTGCATCACCGTGGGTTCGGCTCTGGTGGCTACGGTTTCAAGTTCAACACAGTGAAAGTCACCTCTGCTGTTTGCTTCAGATTTAGAGTCTCTAATAACATAAAGACCAAGGACAGTGACTACACATACATTTACAAGTACAAGGTCTAGTCTCATTTACAAGTTTTATTAAAGTTACAATTAAAATTATGATTACCCATGCATACAGAAATCCTATAAAGACCTATGCACAAGTTACAAATATAGTCATACTCACATCCTTAATGATATTCTTAGGGTCTGACGGATGCCTTGTCAATTGATCATCAGGGTTGGTTCCTGCTGAAGTTTTCCCATACGGAACTCATTTTATCCAATCTGGGAGCCCTCTTCTATCTTGTGATTCTGACTAACCTAACACTCTGTGCATGTGTGTGAAGCTGTCTACCCTGTTTTTCCTTATTTGTATTGTCCCCCAAGAATATTGGGGTACCTTGTTTTTCATAGGTTGTAGTTCCTTTTATTCTTATTAGCATTTACGCACATGGTGCACCCTGCAGTTAGGGCATATGTTAGAAAAATGTGACTACCCGATATCTTGTAATCAAAAATTAATCTTAATCTTAATTTTTTGCAGTACCACCCATTGGCACATCTATTCCCATAATTTTGTGGCATAGGGTCATTCTTTGGTCACTTACTTATGTCAAGCGTTTCTTAAGCCTATGGCTAGTATGGCTAAGCAGACATCTTACAGGCCTCAGCCTGTAGCCCTTGCTTTTCAGCCCTACTTACATAGATACCTAATACATAATTATCACTTCTAAATACTTATCAATTTTATACTTCTATAATCCTACACCTTAAATCTGTTTAGCCTACAATGATTATATATGACATAGCATATGAGCTAATTATAACATCACACAATAGATGAAAGATAAAATGAATTAATTGGCTGCACTGCTGACCCAGCAGACACAAGAATTCATCTGTGGAGTCCAGGGTCTGATTTGCTTCCATTTTAGTACAGGTAGGCTAAAGACATGAAACTTAGTTCTGAAATTCCTCAAAGTTTAAAGAGGTTGGGGTCTGGAATTCTCTTTCACAACCATCTCTGTTTTTAGCCTGTCTTTAATTCTGTTGTGAATGTTGAGGATTCTGGGATGGTTTAATGTGCTCCTTATATGCCTTGGATGCACTATACTCTCCATTAAGATGTGGTTTCAGTCAAGGCATCCAGCAGCCTTTGGAATTGGGTGCTCATTTGTTAGCATTATAGATCAGGGATTCCTGACCTTGAAATGATGCCCCTCAAATCTGCATGTGTGTTCTGGTAAGGTTGTGTGGAAAGGGTTTCCTTCTGGAAACTGATTTTGTCCTGGATAAAACCACTCCCTCTCTAGGCAGACTCCCACTCATATTCTTCACACACCTGTTGAGCTGCTGCAACATGCTGGCGCTGTATGGTTGAAACCTTATATCAAAGATGACCAGGTTTGTTAGGCTTGAGTTGAACACAGTAACAAAACAAGAAACTATGAAAGTGTTTCCTTTCGTAACCTTTGTTTCCTACAGACTGTGGCCTGGTTTGGATTAAATAGTGAGCTGGATCGAGAGGGTATCATTTGTAATAGCAGCACATTATCAGAAAGCTTTTTAATTATATAAGTGCAACTGTAAATTATGGTGTGTAACTAGTCCACGGCAGGTGGGAACCCTCTGGGACTCTGAGCTATCTAATTAACATCCTCTAGTTGTCATGGAAATGTACCACAGATTCTGCTAGGAAGGTAATTATTACAGCTGCAAAAATGTGTCTCTCAAAACTTGTGTTTCATCTGTTCAAAGAAGTTGACTCGGAAATGTCATTTTTAAAGATATATCCTGCTGTTTTAACCATTATTTTAAAATGGAGAAGTGTTGTAAGTACCTGTAGACCCCCTCTGTTTGATACTGTCTGGAAAGAAAAGTTTGCAGATATCTGTAGACAGGTACTCTCTGTTTGGATGAAATATTGCATGTTTGCATGAAACTCAGCAAAATACATGCTGTGCTGCACAGCTAAACAATTCAGGTCTCTTTATCAAGTAGGCTAATAGGTAAATAATCATGGAGGTAGAGCACTACAACACAGCTCACTTGGATGTATTTAAAAGCAAATAGGTTGCTTGCTGGTCATGGATATTCAGTGTTGGCCACCAAAGTACAAGAATCAGAGAAGTGTAAAACCAGGAACAGAGGTGGACATTAAGTGAGGTTTTGTTTGTTTCCGCCAACTTGATATCCCCAAAATAATATGCAATTTACAACGTAAGTAGGATGACCAGATGTCCCGATTTTAGAGGGACAGTCCCAATATTTGGGGCTATGTTTTGTATAGGCGCCAGTCTAAAATTGTACAACCCCCATTCAACAATGCAATGAGTATGGGTAATGGCTGCTAAGCTTATCTTATTGAATCAGATTCTGACTATAATGCAGTCTTGATGCTCACTCTTTTGATGGCATAGAAGACGACACCTGACAAGCTGAGATTAGCACCCATGTTTTTGCTTTGACAAGCTATGTAGTAAATCAAGTATTGACTGGGATCCAATACCTTTGTTCAAGGAAGAATATAGATTGTTTGGAAAGCTGGCTAGTATGCTTCCTGGATGAGTAATTGCCTCGTGCAACAAATAGAAAGGCATGGCACTTGTGAAAATGAAGACATGATTCAGTTGTACAGACACTGAAAATATCAAGTAAATATAGAGGAAGCTCTAAAGAAAAAAGACTGGATGATAATGGAAGAAAGTATAGGATATAAGGGGTATTGCCTTTTGGAAGGGCCAAAACAACATGCCTGCCCTGTAAATTCATGGTGCTCATAAAATTAACACAAATATTACATTTAAATGAGATTTCTTTCTCACTCTACCCATTTTTAAATGGTGCAAAAAAGGAGGAAAAGAATATATGGCTCCATATTTAAATTGTCTTTTTGTCAGTCTGTTTAGCAAATGCATCATCCACTTCAGTTCTTAATGGCTAGTTTGTAGTTCTTAATTTATAGTATTTCTTAAAAAAAAAAAATGAGGGAAAGAAATTAATACTGTGGACAATGTTTGCCTGCATTTTCTCTAATTTCTGCACATTGTAACTTGTTCACATTTTTCATCCCCTTGTCTTCTGGGACCTGCTAATACTCCGCCTAGTTCCATTTAGTTGCTGTATACATTTCTCCACATAGCTTGGCCAGTGCGTCGGTCTTCACATGCCACATCCATACTGTTCCAATCCTGAGATCTCTCAGAACATGACAAATTACATGGTGGCTTAGTGAGATAGATAACTGTCAAATTGGGACTAGCCTGATAATTCCAAACATGTGAGATATGGGCCATCAGTTCTTGAGTTCCTATGTTTAGAGAAGAAAGCCTAGTAGATTAAACCATTCAACTCTTGGCCTTAGTTCTTTGAACATATTTTGGTGTAGTAATTTATCTACAGCTTGTTTCTATTGGAATCTGAAGATGGCAGTAAGAAATATACAACTTTCAGCACAACTAAATTAAATGATATAATTTCTGAACCAGCTAACACACTAATAATGTTTGTGTGCTATGAGGGTCTGCCTTGCAGTTGAATATTAGTGTGCTAAAGATCTTTCTCTATAGCTTTTGGTCAAACATATTTAGGCATCTTAGTGTATTTTTTGTCTTAAAGCTGTGACTACAGTTGTAACAATTTCAAGTTAGCAGCTCTACCTACTGTTAGCACAGAAGTAGTCTTACAGCAGTATTAAGCCTTCTCATTTCAGCTTCCTCTCCTCACCTCTCTCAAAATGCAACCCAGATACCCTTCCTCTCTAGTGGCATTGGAAGAGACCGTTGCCTACCTCCAGTAAAAGTACAGAAGACACTCTCCCTTTGGATAACAACATAACAACTGGAAACAAATATTACCTTAAGCAGGGACTGAACCCACATGCTAGTGTTTCCTCCATATGGAGTGCTGGTTTCAATTTTCACTTGCTCTCACTTTGTGTCTGTGTGTATCAGTTTCCCAATCTATAAAGTGAAGACTTTATTTACAGTTCTATGTAGATTAATTATTGTTTGCATTGTAAAATGCTTTGAGGCCTATGTTAAAACACCATACAAGTGCAAAGTATTTGTAACTTTTTTATCCTTAAAATTTGCATTTCAATATAAATCTCAGGATGCAAGTCATTTTAAACTTCTATCACAATTTTTACTAAATAGCAATACACAATGTATAACTTAATTGACAAGCTATCCTTGATCAGTAGCCGCACATTTTCCATGCAAGCCACAGGGAACCAATTTAATTTTATTAAAGCTGTGGCTTCTAAAGGAAGATAAACACTAGAAGTAATTTTAGTACATTAAACACAATATGCATGTTTCAGCCTATTATTCTTTACTTATTTGTTTATTAAGCATCTACGTAGTGCTGTAAATGTATCCAAAGTCTCGCAAAACACAGACACCAGCTGCTGTGGTT